CTTTAAAAGTGAAAGAAAAATATTTTTTTTCAAAACAAGACAATCTCTCTAGAGTGGATCTTGGTAAATGACATGTGGCTCTCAAACACCAAGCTCATGCTTAGAATCAATGATGAAGCAAGAAATGAGGAACAATGAGGGCATCTTTGAAGATTCAACATCAAATGCTGGGGCATTTTTTGAGATTTAACATCAAATGTAGGGGCATTTTTTGAGATTCAACATCAAATATTGGGGCATATTTGGGAATTCAATATCCTGATGTGAATTATCAGATCTTCCGAAGACCTTTCCTCCACGTGCAGGAACCAGCAGACAAAATATGAGATTCTGTCTGATGAATAAAACAAGAACTAATTTATTATGCATGCATTTTAGAGCATCATTTTTTTCACATACATAATTTTTTCAGCTTTAGAGTCAAGTTTCAACTTTAAGACGAAAGATATTTGATTCAACGCATATTCAGAAATTGATGGTGGTTGCTCAACTTCACAGCGAAGGGGCAACTGTCTGTCGACAAATAACTTTTCAATTTCTTTCAGAGTTAATTTCAACTTCACAACGAAGGATATTGGACTCAAAGCGAAGGATATTGTACTCAAAGTGACACAATTTGCTCGAGAGTAGATTTTAACTTCACAACGAAGGATATCTAGCTCGAAGTCAAACTTCACAATAAAGGGGTCATCCACGGTTTCAACTTCACGACGAAGGGAATCGTGTCCACCCGCAATATACAATACTTGGATTTCAACTTCATGACGAAGGATATTCAAGTCAAGGCTTAACTTCACGACGAAGGGGCCATCCACGATTTCAACTCCACGACGGAGGATATCGTGCCATTTTGAGGCTCAACTTCACGACGAAAGGGCTTCTAAGTTTCAGAGCCAATTTCAACTTCACAGCGAAGGATATTGGACTCGAGACAACACAAGTTCAAATTCACAGCGAAGGGCGGCTGGTTGTCAACAAATAATTTCCTAGTTCCAGAGCCAATTTCGACTTCACGACGGAGGATATTGGACTGGGAACAATACAACTTACTTGGATTTCAACTTCACGACGAAGGATATCCAATTCCTGTCAACTTCACGGCGAAGGGGCCACCCACGGTTTCAACTTCACGACGAAGGGAATTGTACACACAAGTAACATCCATCTCCAGATTGGATTTTAACTTCACGGCGGAGGATATCTAACTCAGAGAAGGAGTGTCTGTCAACAAACTTTCCAGTTTCGAAGTCAATTTCAACTTCACAGTGAAGGATATTGGCCTCGAAACAGCATACTGGATTTCAATTTCACAACGAAGAATATCCAATTCCAAGGCTCAACTTCACAACGAAGTGGCCATCCATAGTTTCAACTTCACGACGAAGGGAATCGTACTCACCATTGTCTCTCTTGAGACAATTTCCAAGTTTTGTCTCTCTTGAGACAGTTTCCCTTGAAACAAAATCTTGTCTCTCTTAAGATAGTTTCCCTTGAAACAAATTTTGTCTCTATTGAGATAGTTTCCCTTGAAAATAAAATCTTTGAATATCTTTTCCTTGAAACAAATTTCGTCTCCCTTGAGACAGTTTCTTTTAGAACTAAGTTTTTCTTGAGACAGTTTCTTTTGAAACAAATTTTATCCCTCTTGAGACAGTTTCTCTTAAAACACAAAAAAACCCTCGAAATTGTTTCTCTTGAAAAAAAACTTTTGAAAATGTTTCTCTTGAAACATCAAACCTTCGAGTTCGACTACGCTCAGCTTCAAGACACATTATTTTCAGCATAACTCAAGGCTAGAAGGGTTATCTGCCAACAAAGACCTTCGAGTTTGACTACGCTCAGCTCCAAGGCACATCATTTACAACATAACTCAAGGCTAGAAGGGTTATCTGCCAACAAAAACCTTCGAGTTCGACTATACTCAGCTCCAAGGCACATCATTTACAACATAACTCAAGGCTAGAAGGGTTATCTGTCAACAATGACCTCCGAGTTCGACTCCACTCAGCTCAAATGCACCATCATTTGCAGCATAGCTCAAGGCAAGAAGGGCTATCTGCCAAAGACCTTCGAGCTTGATTCCATTCAGCTCAAGGGCGTATCAACCACGTTGCATTAGCAAGGAACTACTTTCCGGTCAATTTTTACACCCAGGTCTTTAAATCGAGAAGAAGACCAAGGTCGACCATGATTGGTAACAAAGAGTCACTTTTCAATTTACCCACGATTTCAACTTCAAGAAGAAGGATATCATGACCAATGGATCGACTTAGTGTCACAACAAACACTATCAAGTCTCAAATCAAAGAGAACCATACAAAAACTGTTTGTCTTTTTCATTTTTGCCATATTATTGTTAACACAAAAATGTGTAAAGAGGGGCAGCTGTAGACACCCGTTTTTATCCCGGTCTACAAAAACATTTTATTATATTTATTATTATTATTATTATTATTTTATTTTTTTTATTTTTGTATGCCCCACACTCAACAATCTTGATTTAGTAAGATTCGGAACATAAATCAACGTATTTGAGTCCTATTGAAACACTAAAACCAACATATTTGAGTCTTATTGAAACACTAAAACTAAAACATTTGAGTCCAAGTAAGACTCTAAATCTGAGCTAAAAATAGGTTTCTTTAGACTATAAATAGACTCAAGCATTAAGAGAAAAAGACACATAGAAAAATGTGGAATCAAAAGTAGAGGAAGGGGCAACGATTTGGAAAAATCGAGGGAAGAAAATGACAAAAATAAGCGTGGAGGATCCAAAGCCAATATCTAAAAGCACGAGAAGTGGCAGAGCATTTTCATTGCAAAACCAGTTTCTCTACACGCAAAACATTGGAGATGTAACAACTTTTGTCTTGTTCTTTTTATTTCATTTTTATTTATTTACTTTATATATATTTTTCATTTTCTCTTAATTTTAATATTTTTATTTCTTTTTACATTGTTATATATATATATATATTAATATTATTATATTAATATTTTTTATTATTCTTTTCTCATGTTTATTTTTATTTTTATAATCCAACACTTTGACTGTTTAGGGATACTTTCAATCGATTAAAGGTAATTAATTCGGATTGAATTTTTGAATTTCAATTTAAATTTAAATTTTTGTAAATAAAGACAACTAGAAAATTAATTGGTACCGAAAAGGCGGTTCAAGGGTGCTAATCATTCCTTGATCGTACACGACTCCCGAACCCGACACGTTTCTGGTACAAAGCAGATCAGGTAAGATGGTGTCCGACCCACCTAAATTTGTTTTAAAGTGGTCGGTGGCGACTCTAACCCAAATTCATTTAAGTCGAAGCCCAATTACTGGATCCAACCGAAAGACGGATGCGACAACATAATTATATAATAACAACTAATATAATAACTATTAACATAATTATTGATATAACAACTAAATAAATTTATATAATAACATATTTGGTCCTCAATGTTTCTAATTAATATAATAACAATTAATAGTTAATAAAGATCAAATGTGTTGTTGTACAAATTTGCTTAGCATTCACATCAGAAATTTTATTAACAATTAATGGTAGGTAACTTGATTGCAATCAAATAAAAAGTTTTGCAATCAAATAAAAAGTTTTGCGATCAAATTGATAATTTTTTTACTTAATGATCAAAATATAATCAATCTCACAATTTAGTTACTTCCATGCTAATTTAATTAAGATATGTTTTACCATTATCATATAACTCTCTTGATGATGGATGAGAAAAGGATGACGATAAGTGTAGATGTAAAAATGACGATGACAAAAGATGATGAAGTTGACATACGATAATGGAGATGTAACTCTACATTATGTATACGAAGAAATATGAATTAAAAAAAGGTTGAAGATGGTGATGTTTAAGGCATGGATTGAGGTTTTCGAGAGATGTATAAGAAAGGAAATAAATTAAAGGGATAATGTCAAAAATAACCTCAAACGTTTATTAAAATGGTTATTTTCGCTCATATTCTTTTATTAGAGCATTTTAGCCCCCCAATGTGTCGCTTTGGGGTAAAAAGTTCCTTTAATAAATGAAAATTATAAGTTAACACACGATTAACGCTTCAAAATATAAGTATTTCTTAACCTAAAATGAAACGTTGAGACTAAAATACTCTAGAAAAAAAAGAATAAGAGACAAAGTGATTATTTTATCACATGTTAAGGTTTTTTTCCTCCTAAAATGAATAGTTAAGAGCCAAAATGCTCTAAAATATAAAATAATAGACAAAACAACTATTTTAATAAACGTTGGGAGTTAATTTTGACATTATACCTAAATTAAACTCCCAAAGCATCAAAGTCCAGGTTCAATGGCACTTCCCTTTCATCAACTCCATGGAAAACGACATGCATTTTCCATTTCTCTTAAAACACTTGTCCTAATATACCTTTCATGTCAAATGTATCTCATTTTGAGGATTAAAATAAAATATATTTTTAATAATATGAGGTGAGTATAAGGTAATATATGTTCATATTTTTTTTAGTTATTAAGAATAACACACCTCCTATAAACGTAGTTGTTCAAACTCGAGACTTTTAATGAGAACAACACTCTCTTTTACCACTAAAATCGTTTGATGAGTTATTCGAATAAAAATATCATATTTGAAACATGTTGTGTAGGGATGAAATCAGGATCAAACATTGAGGGATAAATACTTTATTTTTTTACCCCAAAATGAAACGTTGAAAGTCGAAGTACTTTAAAAATAAATAAGGGTCAAAGTGATTATTTAACCAAACGTGTAAGGTATCTTTTGATATTATGCCTTAAAATTTTAAACCAGAACTTGAAGAGCCCAATCATATTGGGTTTAAAAGTCTCAATATCTAGCAAGCATCGTCCCGAAAACCCAACTCCAAGCCCACGCTAAGCTTCACCGCAACACCATAACCACCTCTCCTGCGCTCGAAGGTTCCCCAAAACTAAGCGAGCGAGCGAGCGACGAAAAGAAAAGAGAGGAGCAAAAATGGTGAAGGTCCGCCTTAACACCGCCGATGTCGCCGCTGAAGTCAAATGCTTGCGACGATTGATCGGCATGCGTTGTTCCAACGTCTACGATCTCACTCCTAAGGTCTTTTTTCATTTCTTAAATCCATTTCCCCTTTCTTCAATACATCAATAGTCTTATTTTTTTGGTTAAGTTTAAAATCTGATGATTAATGCTTATGAATTTTCGCTTGTAGACATATATATTCAAGCTAATGAATAGCAGCGGCGTTACAGAATCGGGAGAGAGCGAGAAAGTACTCTTGTTAATGGAGAGCGGCGTCCGTTTACATACAACTGCTTATGTTCGGTCTGTTTTTTTTTGCTTGTTTATTATAATGTAGATTTCATTTTTATTGTTCTAAATTTGCATTACGAATCGCTACTACATGTTTATAGGGATAAGAGCAATACTCCATCTGGCTTTACTCTCAAATTAAGAAAGCATATTCGAACTAGAAGGCTTGAAGATGTCCGCCAGCTCGGTTATGATAGGGTATGTTTTTTTAGCTTGATATGATTTTTGTTTCCTTTTTTTGTCTCAATTTTAGGAGCTTTGTTTGCAGATAATCCTTTTCCAATTCGGTTTAGGCGCTAATGCTCACTATGTGATATTGGAATTGTACGCCCAAGGAAACATTATCCTAACTGATTCTGAATTCATGGTTTTGACTCTTCTTCGTTCCCATAGGTAGCAGTTCTCACCCTCTTTAAATTCAGCAATCTGGGAATGCAGTGAGAATGATGTACATGGTCATGTTTATTTTCGTGTGGAATTTTATTCCTTTTCAAAATTTGTGGTTTGGTCTTCGGATGTTGGCTAGCTTGTAAATTAAGGCAATTAGTTTGATAAAGGAACTGTATGCATTCATTCATGGCAGGGATGATGATAAGGGGGTTGCAATCATGTCACGCCACCTATACCCTACTGAGATATGCCGACATTTTGAACGAACCACTATCTCGAAGCTGCATACAGCCCTCGCTTCTTCTGGTGAACCTGATGAGAATGAAGCTACTAAGGGTATTGGAGACGGGAATAATTCGCTTGATGCACCTAAAGGAAATGAAAAAGGAAAGAAGGGTAGCCAAAAGGGTGGTCAAAAAGGTGGGAAACCTTCTGAGTCGAACAAAAGTGCCAGTGATAATGCTCGTGCGAAACAGGCTACGTTGAAGAATGTTCTCGGTGAGGCATTGGGTTATGGTCCTGCACTCGCTGAGCACATCATTTTAGATGCTGGCTTGGCTTCAAACACAAAAGTAACTAAAGATAACAAGTTAGATGATGATAAGATTCAAGCTTTGGCCCAAGCTGTTGAAAAATTTGAGGATTGGCTGCAAGATGTTATTTCGGGTGAGAAGATTCCTGAAGGATACATTTTAATGCAGAAAAAGAATTCAGGAAAGGATGGTCCCCCCTCTGAAGGAACTACTGGCCAGGTTGCTCTTGTATTATTAAGTATTACTTGTTATCAATTTAGCTGTAGGACCAAGTTGACAATTCATCCTTCAAACATTTGACTGAAGCTATTGTATTGATTGAACTTCCTGATTCATGTGTGTTATTGCTAATTGTTCTCTGGTTATTTTCTGCAGATGTATGATGAATGCTGCCCTATTCTATTGAATCAGTTCAAGTCAAGAGCGTATGTGAATTTCGAAACGTTTGATGCAGCTTTGGATGAGTTCTACAGCAAAATTGAGAGCCAAAGGGCTGAGCAACAGCAAAAGACCAAGGAAAGCACAGCCAGTCAGAAATTAAACAAGATTCGCTTGGATCAGGTTTGTGATATGATTTCTATGTGTTGTTGCTTTATAATCTTGATAGCATGCCTATCCTTATGTTGATTATCGAGGGCATGTCAATTTTTTATTGTCATGTTAATGCAAGTCATGTTTTGCAACAGGAAAACCGTGTTCATATGCTGAAGAAAGAAGTTGATAATTGTGTTAGAATGGCAGAATTGATAGAGTACAACCTAGAAGATGTGGATGCTGCCATATTAGCTGTTCGTGTAGCTCTTGCAAAGGGTATGAGTTGGGAAGATCTTGCTCGTATGGTAAAGGAAGAGAAAAAATCTGGAAATCCCGTGGCTGGCGTAATCAACCAGCTTCACCTTGAAAGGAATTGCATGACATTGCTATTGAGCAACAATCTTGATGAAATGGATGATGATGAAAAGACACTCCCAGCAGATAAGGTGCTATTTCAGTTTAAATTTAGGTTTCCCTTGCCAGTGATTCATCTCTATGCTTATGCATTTCTATAATGCTTATTTATGCTTCTTTTATTAATTTTGATGCACATATTGATCTGCTTCTGAAGAAATCTGCATCTATTACCTGGTTTTGCCGAATATTGTCAATTTTCAGTAGTTATTGTAGCATATATTTGTAAGTTAATTTGAATAACTTAGACAAGTTGAGGAATATAAAAAAATATTGCATTGTCCAAATCATATCTTGTTCAGTTTGATCAAATTGAAGTCTTAGATATTGTCAACTCTGATGTTTTTATTATCTTATTCATAAATACCTTCATCCTCATCATTAATTTTCCCTCCTTTGAGGGGGTTCTCTTCATCTACATAAACTTATGTATGTATAAACAGGAAATTATTTAACACCCACAAACTGCACCCTAATTATCTGGTTGCTATTGCTGTTTCTCACTTTGAAAAGGTTGAAGTTGATTTAGCACTTTCAGCTCATGCCAATGCTCGACGGTGGTACGGGATGAAGAAAAAGCAAGAGAGCAAACAGGAGAAGACTATTGTAGCTCATGAGAAGGCTTTTAAGGCAGCTGAGAGAAAGACTCGTCTTCAGCTTTCACAGGTAGCTGTAACTGTTATTATTCCTATTGCCAACTCGAAATACAGCTCAAGTTTTATTGGTCGAGAATAGAATGAAATATATTTTTGTAGAAGTAAGGATACAATTTTAGAGGGTTTTGGTTCTGCTCCTACTCTGACAAACTTCAAATTGGCTTTGTGGTTCTGTGATTGAGATTATTATTTAATTGTCTTTTGTTTAGCTTGCTGAGTGCGTCATTAATGAATTGCAGGAAAAAACTGTTGCAACAATTACACATATGCGCAAAGTTCATTGGTTTGAGAAATTTAATTGGTTCATCAGCAGTGAAAATTATTTAGTTATTAGTGGACGTGATGCTCAACAGAATGAGATGATTGTCAAGAGATATATGTCAAAAGGGGATCTGTAAGTATATTTTTTTAATGTTTTACCTTTTTTGTTATTTTTTTACTTCCAAGTTATTGAAATTTTAATTTCTCATGGTGCTCTTCGTCTGAAGTGCTATGCAAAAGAGTTCACCATGAAAATCAACACTCTAGTTTGGGTTGGGGAAGAGTTTCATTAAAAGTAACTCAAATGGAGGCATGAGTTGAGGAAGAGTTTTTCACTCAAATCTGCGTTTCTTTTTGCTTTTTCTATATTGAGAATAACAATTCCTTGATAGTTTCTGTATTTTTTAGTTACTAGCTTGAAGACATGATTTATAATATCTTGATAGTCATTTGCTTAATGAAACAGGTACGTTCATGCAGATTTGCATGGGGCTTCTAGTACAATAATCAAGAACCACAGGCCCGAGCAGCCAGTACCACCTCTCACGTTAAACCAAGCAGGATGTTTCACGGTAAATAATCTTCTTGTGTCTTTTGTTAATACACTTTATTTTCCAGGAAGAACAAAATACAATACAAGCAGCTCATATTTCATTTTCTTTTTCGTGAAATAGGTTTGTCATAGCCAGGCATGGGATTCAAAGATTGTTACCAGTGCTTGGTGGGTTTATCCCCAACAGGTCAGTAAAACTGCTCCTACAGGGGAATATCTTACTGTCGGAAGTTTCATGATACGTGGGAAGAAGAATTTTCTTCCTCCACATCCTCTTATAATGGGATTTGGATTATTGTTTCGCTTGGATGAGAGCTCCTTGGGATCACATTTAAATGAAAGAAGGGTGAGGGAGAGGAGGAAGGGATAAATGAGGCTGAAGAGAGTGGTCCTCCCATAGAAAATTCCGAGTCAGAATCAGAGAAAGGTGGAGAAGCAACTGATGTATCCGAAGTAGCAGCTGAGAACAGTACTGGTTCTAATGATGTTGGTAATGCAATCGTGTCTGACCTTGTAGACAGTGGTGTTGCTTCTGTAAGTCCCCAACTTGAGGCACTCCTTGACCACGCTCTAGTTCTTGGATCTGCTAATCTCTCTGGTAAATCTCCTGTTCTGGAAACATCTCAAAATAATTTGGCAGAGGAAGGGAACCATGAGGAGAAGACTGCTACGGTTAAGGAGAAGCCTCATATTTCAAAAGCCGAAAGAAGAAAGCTCAAGAAAGGAACAGGCAGTACTGCTGCCACTGCTAACACTGAGAAGGGCAATGGGAAGACAAAAGAGAATCTTAATGTATCTGGAAATAACTCGAAACCAGGTGGTGGAAAAATAAGCCGTGGGCAGAGAGGCAAACTCAAGAAAATAAAGGAGAAATATGCTGACCAGGATGAGGAAGAGAAGAGCATTCGGATGGCGCTACTGGCTGTGAGTACCCCAACTTGATTACTTGAAAAATATATATAAATGTTGTAGACTTCTCTCTCTGTGTGTGGAATCATGCCTCATCGTAGTGGTTATAGTCTAGACTTAAAACAGAAGATTTTGTGAATTGCAGTCTTCTGGGAAAGCTAACAAAAATGAAGGGTCAGATGATGGGAAAACTACTACCAGCAATGACCAGAAAGCCAACGCTAGCGGTATGCTCTTTACAGAAGTATTGATGCCAAATTAGATTATGTTCGAATCTCTAGCAATAACCCTGTTATGGAGCATAAAATCCAGTTGTTTTTAAAATTTTCAGGCTCTCAAGATGCCCCTAAAATATGTTATAAATGTAAAAAGGTAGGCCATCTTTCACGGGATTGTCCTGAACATCCTGATGCCACTTCGCATCATGCAACTGGAGTTGAAGATGATCGCCGTTCAGGTTTGGATGATACAAGTGAGTTGGACCGAGTGGCCATGGAGGAAGACGATGTCAACGAGATAGGTGAAGAAGAGAAAGGGAGATTAAATGATGTGGATTACTTGACAGGGAATCCTCTTCCCAGTGACATTCTCTTGTATGCGGTGCCTGTCTGTGGTCCCTATAGTGCAGTTCAATCATACAAGTACCGTGTAAAGATAGTTCCCGGAACAGCAAAGAAAGGAAAAGGTTTTAAAATTATCTACTTCACAACGTCGAAATTAAATCATCGTCTTTTAGAATCGTGTTTTTAACTGTTGGTATTCTGGTGCACAGCTGCAAAGACTGCCATGAATCTGTTCACCCACATGGCGGAAGCAAGTAGCAGAGAGAAAGAATTGATGAAAGCATGCACGGATCCTGAGCTTGTTGCGGCTATCGTCGGAAATGTGAAGATCACGGCAGCTGGCCTTACTCAATTGAAGCAGAAGCAAAAGAAAAGCAAGAAGAGCAGCAACAAGGGAGAAAGCTAAACAATGCCATTGTTGTAGTAGTAGAGAAGAAGAAAGAAATAATGAAATAAAGCATTTTATTCTCTGAATATTTGGTTTTGTACTATTTTTCTTTCCCTCAGTTGGATTTGTGGTGATATCATCAAATTTTATCCTTATCTTTGGACGTATAAGTTGAAATAGAGAAATTGTACTTTATAAGTAAATGTTTTTCTATGTAGGATGTATTTCTAAGAAAATATAATTATTAGGATTGAATTTATAATTTTTCATACATAGCACGATGATCTGGGCAAAGGGCAGTTGTCTTTTATTTAAGTACTAGGAGTGAGCGTCCAATTGTGTTGAATAAAATTTGTTAGAGTTATTCAAATTTAATCGAGTTTCAAATTGAGTTATTCAAAATTTTTGTTTAAATTTAATTATAAGTATTTATAATATCATATTACTTATTTATATTTAAATAATTTTTCATAATCATATATAATAAATTTATATTTTTTTATATATTATATACATATATCATACCAAAAAAAAACTCAATTCAATTTTTTAAGTTATTCGAGTTACTATTTGAATCATTTAAGTTTTATTTATAAAATGATTTGAATTTAAAAAAAAATTTAGTCGATTCAGTTTTGCTAACTAGATTATAATAAACTCCCAAAATCAAACATAATAATAATAACACTAAATGGTCAAAAGCTCAAAGCTTATATTCTACAGCTGAAGTGTCTCGTTTGATCGTAAGGGAGCACTTGATTTACTTTTACAAAGCAAATCCAAATGAATTAAGAATCTTCATCTGCTGCAGGAACATCACTCAGGTCTAAACCTTCTGCTGGAAGCTCTGATGTAAGGGGACCTAATATCCCATCCGAGCTCAGAGCCAACCCACTCTGCAACATACCATCACTGAGTTAACACACGCATGCTAATCGAACACCATTGTTTCTACAATCAACGTCTAACTAAAATCGTACCTCGGGTTGGAATCTCAGCATGTCTGCACGAGCCATAGCTTCTGCTTGAGCGATTCTCTGCCTGAACGTCTGAGCCATCTCTTCAGCCTGTTGGAAAAAAAGAATGACCAAATTTGCAATTGTTATGCTCTGATCACTCCAACCAACAAAGAAGAGGTTCGAGATCTACCTTCTCAAAAACAAGAGTTGGATTGCGAATCATGTCTCCTGGGGTAGGCTCAAGTTTCTTCGTAGAAAGACTTACTCGTCCCCTTTCACGATCATGGCTCAGTATCATGACCTATACCGTTTTTTACACGGTTTTTAGAATATAATTCTAAGAAAGCAGGATTTTCTTGCCAAGAATTTAATGTTGTAGCATGAGTCACCTTTAGAGTGTCACCAGGTTGAAGAACGGTAGCAATATCCGAAACACGATCATGACTGATTTGACTGACATGAAGAAGGCCGTTAATTCCGCCAATATCGATGAATGCACCGTATGGTTTCAGGCTCTGAACAGTTCCAAGCACAACCGATCCGATTCCGAGCTGTGCTTGGCTGTCAGCCATGGCCTTGCGGTTACTGAAGACAAGTCTGGACTGTTCCTCGTCAACCTCAACAAACTTCAAAGGGATCTCCTTATCTAAAAGCTCTTCCGCAGTGGATTTCTGATGAGACGAAAGAATCAGTTTACAATGAAAGATTCATAAACTAAACTATGGGCACCATACAACCACATTTTGAATACGAAATAGCAGAGCTAACCTACTAGTGCAAAATTTTGATCTCAAAGGGAATTTGGTAAAGCGAAATACAGCATATAGAAACAACATAGTTTGGATCTCGTAACTAACCGATGATATCTGTGAGAAAGGGACAAACCCCCGAAGACCCTCCACCAATGCCACTACTCCACCCTTGTTTGCACCAACAACCTACTTCTTGCATGTAAAAGTTAGTCAAAGAGCAGTGCGTGAAAATGCTTGAATAAGTATAACAATTGTAGGGAAGCTGTAGAATTATAAGAGTTTCAATATTATTACTAAATCGGACACAATTGTCAGAAATACGCACCTTGCCCTTCACGACGACATCCTCAGCTTGAAGTTGCCTGCATCTTTCCCAGGCAAGCTCATATTGAATGGACCTTAAGCTCAAGATTAAGCTATCGTCGGCCTCATTTTCACCGATAATCATAAATTCCTCCCTCAAACCAGGAACTATACCAGCTTCTTCTACATGTTTGATTCTGTGAATGCTGGCCTCTTGGACTGGCAGATATGCAGAAGACTTTGCAGTAATATCAACCAATGCTCCATTGGCTTCTGTGGCGAAAACCGTTCCTTTAACCTGAAAATGTATACATTTTCTTTATCCATGATACAAAACCTCAAGCACAACACAAGTAAAACTGTAGAAATTCAATCAATCTTCTTCACAACTATGACAAAACTAACTCAAGAGCCAACCAACCCTATACCCTCAAACATAATTCACATAAAACACCTATTCTGAGTTCATGCGTTAACAATCTCAATCACAAAACGGCCAAACCCATCGGATCATATCACGAGAGCATAATCCAAAATTGTCCTCTTCGTACTCATAGATCCTTCAAGGTTTTGTTACCCTCGGGTGTATCTCTATGAACTCAAATCTGGACCATAGCACACAAATGAGTGTCTTAGTTTGTGTCCAGAACTCGTACAGGTGGAAGCACCGCCTCTGAGGGTGGCAAAACATTAAGGTTCCATGCGTATCTAAAGAGGATGATTCTGGATTATATAGCCGTGACCGAGGGGGGAGCAGGGGGTTGTGGTCACGTCCATGAATATTTCAAATCCTCAATAGTTTAGGTATTTTTTTTTGGTTGATAATCTAATTTTGCACCCTCTAAATTTCTAGTTTAAGTTCCTAAATTCACATCTCTTGACATAAAATCACACGTTAGTCCCTGTTTGTCGCATACAATCTCAATCTTACTTATCATTACTATCAATATAAAGATAAGACTCAAAACTGAATGAAGATGTTCAAATGAATGGCCAGTAAAATAAATACCCAAATCACACAATCCGCTAGTAGTTCTTAATTCAAGCTAATATGGATAAATTCTTAAATTTTGAATTAAAAGAAAGAACCAAATAAAAGGAAGATGATTAAGAAAAACCTTGGTTCCAAGCTCAGAATTAAAGTCATATTTTTCAAGAGCATTTTGGAAATCTTCAAGAGTGAAAGGAACGCCTTCCATAGGAGCAGTCCGACAGCGTTCGTAGGCATCCTCGAACATCTTCTTGAGTTCGAGCCTGTCTTTGGTCTGTGCATTTGAGATGGCGACGGCTGAAACTATCGGAGAAGCAAAAGCACCCACTTTCTGGGTTTGCTTTGGTTTCACCGCAAAGCGAGATGAGGAGAGTGGCGAACATCTTAGACCTGTGAACTGTTGAGCCAAAGACGCCATCTTTAGGGTCGTCTTCGTTCCTTTTTCTAGGATTTCTCCACTGATGAAATGATAAATTGATAGATAAGGTGAAGAAGAGGGAGTTAGACGTGGCAATTTTGGATGTAAATAATGAAAATAAATGGTAATTATTTTATTTATGTTATATTTAGGTATCAGATTCGAGTACCTCATATATATATATATATATATATATATAAGAATATAATCATTTATAATTAAATAATTAAAAGAAATATTACTTTAAATTTATCTTAAATTTATAAAAGAATTTTTTTACAAACATTACATACTATATTAACAATGTATTAACTATAAAAATATTTAATAATAAATATTTTATATTGGTACATTTTAATAAAGTTTGGGTTAATTCAGATATTTAATTATTTATATTTAGACATTTTATATATATTCTTTATTTTAAGATTTAATTGCACCACACATCCTTAAATTATGACTTATTCTAAGCTAGTCCCTAAATTTTTAAACATTCTAATTTCATCCCTAAACTATGACTATCATTTTAAATTAATCCTCAAACTTTTAAACATTTCATTTTCATCCTCAAACTATGGCCTTCATCTAAATTTGTCTCCAAACATTTTGAGCATTTCAATTTCATCCCAAACTATACATATATACTAATCACATCCTTTGCTCATAAAATCGTTGGATCAAATTATATTATTATATGTTGAAAAAACTAATTACATATTTGGATGGAATTGAAAGATTCAAAAGTTTGGGGACTAATTTAGAATGGTGATTGTAGTTTGGGGATGAAATTGAAATGTTTAAAAATTTAAGGATTAATTTAGAATAAAAGTCATAGTTTGAGGATAAAATTAAAATTTTCAAAAGTTCAAGGATCAATTTAAAATGATGATCATAGTTTGAGAATATATGATACAATTAACTTTTATTTTAATGGTAATTATCTGACTTAAGGTTTAAGATTTTTTTTATTAAGGTTTAAGATGTAAAATTTATATTTTAGGATTTAAAGTTGTAAAGTTTTATAATATATGGTTTAGGGTTTTAGACTTTATGGTTTAGAATTTAGATTTAAATTTTTTAATATTTAGATTAAAAATAAATATGTTATATAAAATAAATTATTTAATTTATGTATCAAATAATAACTTCTTGTATTTATTTTGAGTTTGAATTTTGAACCATGAGTATTATACTATTTGGATTTGGATTTTATAAAGTAAATTTGGATTGAGATAACATATTTAAGTTTGAGTTCATATATAAATATTTGAAAAATAAGTACTCAAAATTAAATAATAAAAATGATAAATAATAAATAACAAAAATCAAATGAATTTGTCTTGAAATTAATATAATAATGAATGGTTTCTTCATTTTCGATTGATGTTCTATGATATATAAAATTTATGTACATATTATATAATCATATAGTCATATATTAAATGTAGTACCATAAATTTAATCTGAAATAATAAGTGATTCGAGAGCGTTACATTTTAACCACTAAAATGACCCGTAAAATTTTCATAAAAAAATATTACTTAGATCAAGTAATTTTCATAAAAAAATTCATATAAAATATTACTTTTATTATTTCATAAGATTTAGGATATTTTTTTTATATTCTGAGGTAAGCATAAGGTAGTATCTGTTCTAATATAAATCTCAATCATCTCTGGTGCTTATGAGTATTAAGTGTTACTAATTAACTCATGAGTATTAAGTGTTACTAATTAGCTCATGAGTATTTTAAATTTTTTATAAGGTTTTAGGTCCTTAAATATACTTATTAAGCTTGGGGGTATTTTGATTATTTTCATAATATAAGAGTTTTTTTTTGTTATTTTATCACTTAAGATTTCAAATTAGTTTTAAAAAAAAGTTATTTTAAATACTTTATACATATAAGGGTAAACTACATGTTTACTACGTAAATTATTATTTTTGTTTCATTTTGATACTCAAATTTTATTCAAAATCATACTTGACGTTTAGTTTGTGTTTCATTTTGATATCCGTAGTTAAAACCTTAACAGAATCGTTGATGTGACATATTCTTTATTTTTTAATGATGATGTGGTATTATCTTACCGTTAAGTTTTTAAAAGAATGAGTACTAAAATGAAACTTAAACTAAATATTAGATATGATTTTGAAAAAAAAATAAAGTTTAAGTACCAAAATGAAACAAAAGTAATAATTTAACTACTATATGTATAGTTTTTCCTACATATAATAATCCATACAAGGTCATCACATGTGTTTTTTATAACTTAAACCCAGTTTAAACAAAATTTAGAATGAGTTTTTAGTTTTACAAATATGTTGATGTTAAATTAATTATTTTTTAATATTAAGAGATTAATTGAATCAAATTAAAATATATGTATATAATTTTTTAATATTTTAAATTTTAAAAAATTACAACCAATTATAATTTATAAAGTTATCTAAATTTTATAGAGAAGTATAGATAAATTATATAGAAGACTACACCGTTTCTATCCTTTTAAGAAAGAAAGCATGCGAAACTAACAAAAATCCTGGGTAAACTACACGAATAGTCCACAGTCTATATGAAATTACATTTTGAGTCCCCTAATTATTAAAAGTTATAAAATAATCTCTTTAACTATAAAATGTTGCTTTGCTGAGTCATCAAATTATAAAAAGTTACAAAACAGTCACTCAACTATTTATATGTTCCAAATTTATCATTTTTGTTAAAAAATTAACACTAGTCTAAGCTGGACATTAACTTGCTGACGGGATATGATAAAATCTGATCTCAAAATCTCAATCAAGTATACAGTTGAAACATTTCTAAGATCAAATTTTATTATATCTCACTCAACAAGTTAACGTCTAGCTCAGACGACCGTCAAATTTTTAATAGAAAATGATAAGTTTGAAATATATGAATAGTTAAGTGATTATTTTGTAACTGTAATAGTTGAGAACTCAACAAAACAACATCATACAGTTAAAAGATCATTTTGTAATTTTTAATAGTTAAGAGACTAAGAAATCAATTCCTTATATACTGGGGACCATGTTTCTAATTTACCCAAATAATTTCAAGTTTCCATCTCTTTTGTAATTTCTCTCACTTTCTCGCAAGGGTTTCTAATTTTCTTTCGTTTTGATTCCACCCAAACAGCGTCTTCCGCTGAACCTTTCAGAAATTTGGATTCTCTTTCTTCCAAATAAAACCCTAAATCTGGTTTCAACAATGGCTACGACTACGAATGCCCCTGATGACTCAGGTTTCTTATTTTTAAAAAGCACAAAATTAACCCTTTGATCACCTTTTTGCTTATAACTATGGAAAGAAATTTTTACGTTATTACTTCCAGTTTTAATAGTTTCTATATATTAGAGAATTTTAATGTATGAGTCATCGTCATTTTCTGTTTTCCTGATATATTAAAGAATATATATATATATATATATTAATGTCTTTGATGTTTCAGGTAATGCAAATGGAAAAGAGGTCACAGTGAACAAGTCTGGGAAAGAAGAGGCTATGGCTTTGAATTCTTAGCTCCAATGTGAAAATACTGGTGAGTTATTCTTATATTTCAGCTTAATATTCCCCTCAATGATCCTGATTTTGGGAATTATGTTTATCATATCGATTGTTGTTTTTTCGATATGATAGAGTCGAAATCACGGGTGGAAGCGATATGGGAGCAAATGAATAAGGGATTACCTAAGAATGGTCTGAGACAATTTTCAAGCAATAAAACTTCAGCCAAGAATAAAGCTTCTCAAAGAACTTCGAATGTTAGCAGTTTCGTATACTACTTGTTTTTAATTCAACTACATGTTAGATTGTGTTGTGTAGTAATTGTTTGGCTTGATTTTGTCTCATTGAATTGGATGAACTATCTGCAAATGAAACCGGCAGCGCCCTCAGGGGCTCAAGAAAGACAGACAGAGGCGAAGGCTTCGAGTGAGACCAATGAAATTGATTCCGAAAGTAACGATAAAGTGCTGAAGGGAACTACTGTAGTCGAGAACAATGTCAGTGATGAGGCAAAGAAGATTGCAGCCGCTGCCCTCTCAGCGGTGAAAGACGCTGCTGCTGCTGCCGCTGCCTCAAATAGAGGGAAAATTGAGGTAAGCACATCCATAATCTTGTTAGAAAAAAAAGTAAAGTGGCTTCATAATTTTCTTTAGCAAAATGTTTCATCTATGTTTAAATATTTGAGCAATCCAAATGTCTGCAGACCTGAGCAATGATCTTAATTCGTTCTTCCCTTTTGCAGATAACTGAGGTTCGAGACTTTGCTGGTCAAGATATTGAAATAAAAAAGTGAATCCATGCTGATTCGAAAGAGGCAGCTGAAAAGGCGAAAGGTACATCTTCTGCAGTTGATGCCATTCTTGAACAAATCAAGAAGAAACAAAAGCTCAGTGTGCTTGACAAGACAAAAAAGATTGGGAGAATTCAAGGAAGAAAATAAGGGGATGGAGGATGAATTGGATGCCATATAAGAAGAGTTCAAACCAGTATTTGGATAAGGTTTCTTTCTTGCAGCGGACTGATTATCGGGAATTCGAGAGGGAGAGAGACGCAAGGCTTGCTCTACAGGGTAGGAGGAGACCAGAAATGCGGGAGGATCCCTGAATGCGCATATCCTTAAGTTGCTGTTTGTCGGATCATCATGCTGAAAGCTACAGTAGGAAGGACCCAGAATTGTGCAGGGACTTTTTATTCCCGTTACTAGGATGAAACCCTTTAGCAAATACATTTCTGAGTGACTATTTTCGAGTAAATGGTTCCGAGTTCTCTCTTCTTTCCCTCCATCGAATCATATTTGTTATTGCACAGATGTTTGCTTGTAGTGTAGGCATCTCCTGTACTTTACGTTTCTGTTAAGAAAGAATATCACTGATGGTGCTGCCTGTTCATATGCAAGGCTGGTAACGTAAAACACCAGCGCATTGGTTCTTTTTATTCGATTAAGGTAAAGCTCTAAATCTAATAACGCAATGAACGTGTGCATTAAGCTTCATAGTGAACCATGTATCGTTTGGCCAACAAAATATTTACTAAGATTAGAAAACTGCAATATATGTATAA